CTCCCAGAATTCCCCAGCCAGCATGGCTGGCTGGGGAATTCTGGGAGTTGAAGTCCACATAAGTTACAGTTGTCAGGGTTGAGAAACACTGGTCTAACTCAAGGTTGGCAACCAGATACCTCAACTCTCATGATCCAGCACGGCCAAGGGCAGGGGGTTATGGGCACTCTATTCCAAAGCATTTGTAGAGTCCTAGTTGCCTATTCCTGTAAACTGGCATGGTTCAAGTTCAGCCCAGAACTCATGATCCCCAACAGCGCATAGACTCCTCGCTGTCTGAACTACCCTCGGCTGTCTGCAGTTCAGGGTGAAAGCTAGTTTGCTTTCCCACCATGCAAGACTCAGAGAAGAGTCCCAGGAGCCAAGGTGGAAAAGGAGCTACAGCAGAACTGCTTGTTAGCTAATTGAGATAACTCCCCTTTTCCTAAAAAAAAAAATTATGGCACTTTTTAAAAAAGAAACACCAAAAACATACCAAAAAAAAAATCTAAAGAAAGAGTAATGCCCAACAAATTAATGGGGGACATTGTAATACCAAAACTAAACTAAACTAAACTAAACTAAACTAAACTAAACTAAACTAAACTTAAAATTAAATTAAAATAAAATAAAATAAAATAAAATAGATGAACCAGGGAAAGAATTAAAAAAAAAAACCCAACACAGACATAAACCACTTAAATATATCATATACTCATTTAAAATCAATGTATCAAATTATGCATGGCCTAGTCAAATTAAAATTATGCATGGCCTAATCAAATTAAAAATGGCCTAGTCTTATAAAATATTACAAAATCTATGCCAAAAGGAAATGTATTGGATCATTTTTTGAGTAGCAGGAAAAAAACCAGACTTTTCAAAACTGGCTAAATTATACATTTCTTGAATGCAGGCTTTGCTAGCTGGGTTAATAGTACTTTTCCAGTCTAACTTAGATACCAACCCTGCTTTACGGATGTCTCACCTTATACCATGCTTCCGAAAGACCTCCATGGTGTTAAATGAGTCTTTCTCCACTCCCAAATAGAAGTCCATCAAAGGTGGATCTATCCAACCACAGCGTGGAAGATCTGGTTCAATGGGAACTCGCGTGTAGGTGATCCCATAATCTTCTAACACCTGCGCAAATACATGTCTGATCTCTGGAAGTGTAACCAAGGAGGAAGAACATTGTAAGAAAATCCAGCTCGGTGAAATACAACTATCAAAATGTTTTGAAGGGCAGAAGGGAGGAGACCGGCTGATTGAAGCAGTTCCTGCCTACCTGGGAGAACATGGACATGTTGGTGTCCATCCATGTGATGAGGCAAATGGCCCGTCAGTTCATGAAACAAGTCAACTTGTGCTTTTAGTTCCTGCTTCACCTAAAAATACGAAAGGAGGAGAAGCTGTAAAACGTTTGCATGAATATTCTCATTTTAAAAACAAAACGGAATCATTCCATGAAGCCTGCAGGACAAATCGGGTACACCTAGACCTCAGAAGAAACATCTTGGCAAGCTCTGAAATCCTCTCCAAGCAATGTTAACCGAAAAACAGCAGTGTGGTTTTCTGCCATTCTTGGCAAGGAACATACAAAATAATTGTGTGAACTTGTAACGGTATGTGGGAATGACCTTGGGAGACCCGGCGAAGAGATGCTACCTGGAGAACAGTCAGATAAGAGGCAACATAGCCCTCAGCTGCATAATAGGTGGAGCAAGAAGTTCAGAAGGGACCCTCCTTAGCTTCTCAGGCTGTCAGGGTGACAGCAGGAGAATGATATTTTCAGACTTGCAAGATTCTGTTAATGTAGCCTTACCATAACATAGAATTAGCTCATCTGGTCATGTTTCCTGTTTGGTCTACCTGGGAAGGCTAAAAGAACTCAAAAACAGGCTTTGTACAATTCAGGAAAACAGAAACCTGGGCACTTTAAAAACATCTCCCCGATGAAATTGGCCTGCACAGAGAAGAAATCCAAACTCAACCAACGTGAGTTGCATAGCTGGGTTGACATCCTTCACTATATATCTCAAGCACCTTTGAAAGATTAGACGGAGGTGTGTTTGCCCTGCTTTATTTACTTATTTATTTATGCCATTTCTATAGCCGCCCATCTCAATCCAAGTGACTCTGGATGGCAAACCATTTCAGTCATTAAAACCATTAATTATAAAATATAGATATAGGCAGCCAGGAGTTATCATAGAAATTGCATAAAAATCAACAGTGCAACCAGATCATGGAGCTCCTGACACTTTTGGGACCCTGGCTCGGGCACCTAGCCAGGTTTTTAAAGCCTTACAAAAGGCTAGCAGGGTCGTGGCCATCTTGAGCTCCAAAAGAAGAATATTCAAGGGGGCGGGGGCTGCTGCAGAGAAGGTCCGCCTTCTGGTCCCTGCCAGCCAACATTCTTTGGCTGACAGGATCCACAACATCCCCAATCTACTAGACCAGGATTTCTCAACCTTCTCAACTTTGAGATGTGTGGACTTCAACCCCCAAGATTCCCCCACCCAGCACCCCGGCTGGGGGAATTTTTGGGTTGGGTGC